AAGCAGTGGTATCAACGCAGAGTACTCTTGTTCATAAGGGTTATCCGACCTGGGCCTCGTATTCTAGGGTTGCGACGAGTAGAATTTGGGATAACAAGATTTTTTTACGACTTACCAGCCTTTCTACCTCCATTGGAAAGATGCCTGTGACTACTTTTTAGCGCTACGTAAAATCTACAGAAAAAGTACTATCGAAAGGTCCTTGCTGGAGTCTACTAGAGGCAATGCGCGCTGCTTTACACCTTCGCGTAAAGACGTCTACAGAAAGATTTGAGAATATTGAAATCGGAATATCAAGGATATGCTGTATATCGAAAGACTTGCCTTGATGAACTGAGCACAACGTTTTCTTCGGATTCAGGATATGTTCATTCCGAAGGATTACGGCGAGTAGAATTTAGAAACGCGTGATTTTTCCAAAATTCACCAACGCTTCTATCTCTTTTGGAAGACATTATGCAGCTACTCTTGAACGCACAATAACCTGCAAGGACAGTACTATCGAACAGTGCTTACTGGAATCTTTTATGTTACACAGACACTGCGTTACATCCTTGCGAAAACATCCACAGAAAAAATTCGAAAAGACTGAATATCGAGAGCATACTGTATATCAAAATATTTGCCTCGACGATCTGAACACAATGCTGCTTCTGGTTTCGGAATATATTCATTCCGAAGGAAGTTATGGCGTTGCGTACTCTGCGTGATTCGCAAGGTTTCGCGGATCCTGAATTGTCGCGAACTTCCCGGATTATCGCGCACTCTGGCGGAAATCCCGGGATTCCGCGAAGTTCACGGAAATTTTGACATTCTGTGGGCGGTATTGTGATATTGAGCAGATCTTAGAACAAATTCGATCAGAGTAGCTCTCTACCATACTCCTGTAATATACTGTCTATGTGTCATCAGCGACAGATCAATGGTAATACTGCTATCAGCACACTGAATTCAATCAAAATAATAATCGATAATTCTGAAAACTATTATTGTATTCGGAATCCCCATGCTCCCCTGTGCAAACTCCCAGCCCCGTAGGTGAACTCGGCGAAGTATATGTGTGCCAAGTTTGGTCCGGATCGGTTCAGAAATGAAATTTTCTAATCGGAGCATACGTACAGAAAACAGACAAACAGACGTTCAGCTTCATATATAAGGTGATGCGTCTCGCCGAGCTGAATCGAACGGTGTCCTCGGATTCAGAATTCGTCCATTCTGAAGCGAGTAATGGCTAAATTGAAGATCATTCCGGCGCACTGCGGCGGAGTGTGGCGCACTCTGCCGTACTCTAGCGGACTGCGTCGCACTCCGGCGCACTGCGACTGTTTGGCAACTTTTTGACGAATGATGAGCGGTATCGTACGTGCATGTGGACCTAAGTGGGCATGCTGATGACGAAAACGTAGTAAATTTAGAAAACGGCATCTAGAATTGGTACAAAAACAACAAAAACAATTCATATAATTGTATAAAATGAGGGAATGGCCTACAGTGTATAGAGAGACCCGAGCGAAGCCCTATATGCCAGCTAGTACTTTCATAAGAAAGGGGTAGTAGAAGCACTTAAGGATCTAGGAAGGTTTGAAATCCGCAACTGTGGAGCTTTCGGGAATGAAGCTTTCTTTCAAGCTGGACGTCGCTCTCTAGGGAGGATGAAGTGAATGTTCATGCATGCGGCCCTTAGTATGGCTATTCAGTAATTGCTCCCAATGCGACCCATAGCATACACCGGTAGAATGCTGCCCTATTAATGACGCTGACTATACGTACTTGACAATACCACCACCATTCATTACTTTGCGATTTCTCTCCCCCCCCCCTTGCATCCTCAATTGAAAACTATGAAGCGCCTTCAGACTATGCATGTTCATTATATCGCTCAGTGCCGCTCAAATTTCTCGAAGTATCCAATAGCTCGCAGGTGGATTGAGATTCTTTTTATCAAGAACTCGCTTTGCCAGGAATGAGCATCACTTGAGTTGGTCCTTAGTTTTCGAACCAGCCCCATTTCTGCGGTGCCCCAATACGAGTAGTTTTCTTTTTCGGAGGATTTTGGTGCCAACCGTTCATCCTTTGAATATCAGATGACTTTTCACTATGTTATTTCGTTGTCTACGGATAGGATACAACTGTTCTCTGACTTCAGCTTGATAGCGTCCGTTGATGTTCAATACCTTGAGATCTGATGATGGATGATGCTAGCTTTTTATTTAAGCAATTTTATAAGGTACATCTACATTAACCTAAGCGAAACTAGTCATGCCTAAAGATGCGAGATAATAAAAAATAAAAATCAGCGATTTGGCAAGGGCGCTATCCACGCACCTATCGATAGTGCATGTGGGAAAGGTAGAGATAGTCACATATGCATAAAAATACACATATTTATAATACAAACAACGCAATCGATAATGAAGAATCATCAAAGTGAAATTTGGTCTGAAAAATTGCTAAGCAGGTAGATGACATGGAAAGTAGTAAGTATTTGTCATAGGACCGCTTTATTTTCAACAACATAGTGCGAATCAACATTGAAAATTGTCATTCTATAGTGACATCATATATACCCGGGTAATCTTAGTGAATGAAATATGAATCTCAATCAAAACAATTTCTTACAACTCTGATTAGGTAATGGAGCTTGCTTTGCGACGCTACCTAGAAAGTCTCCAGGAAGAGCTGTGAGAATCGTCCGTCATGATAGAGTCGGGTCCAAAGAAATCATCGCAATGCCCGAGGTCGATGAGGTTGATATCGCTTGTGGGGGAAAAGGCAGGGTCGCCGAGGTCATCGTCTAGCAGATTCGAAAAGCTTGGATCCAGGGAGACAGGGAACGACTGAAAATATAGCTTCAGTAAAATTATCAAATTATCTAGTATATATGTCCGTTTTTTTATCGCAAATCTACAGGGTTGGGGGAAAGTCTTTGGACAGGGTAGTTCAATCGTAGTCACGAAACTAGGCAACATATTTACATGAAATAAATATATAATGTTCATCAAACAATCTACTATATGAAAGCAACTTTAAATTTCAAAGATCCCTCCTTTGGCGTGAACAAGGCTCGAAGACGCTTGTGAAAGCTGTCCATGATGGCACGGAGGTACTCTACTTCGATTTCCTCCCACGCATTCTGAAGAGCACGTCGCAGTGACTCCACAGTGCTGCGTGAGTGAGCGCAGGCTTTCGCCTAAAGAAATGATCACTTGCGGTAGTCAAGGGTATTTGGATCCGCCCAGTACGGAGGTTATTCCACGGGAGTAATGAAGTCCTTAACGTTGCTTTGGAGCCATGCTTGAATAACCTTTACTTAGTGCGCAGGTGCGCTATCCTGCTGTGAGCACCAATTGCTCCCGGCAAATGGATATTGGTCGAGGCCAACAATTCTTTCTTCAGGATGCTATTCACATGCGTGGCAGTGTCCACTTTGAGCACTGAGGCCCCAAAAATCAGTGGCATTTTGCTGTCGGAAGCGATCGCAGCGCAAATTGTCACAAAAACCGGATAAAGCTTTCGTTCTGCAAGTTCTGCAAGTCATTCCCTGCTATTGGTTTCTTGAGGCGTTTAGGTGATAACTCTTTTGTTTTGACGATCAAAAATCTGCTTCATGGTGAAAATTTTGACGTCAGAACAGAGTATGTTTGGTGGCGTGCCTTGGAGAGACGTTCAGGCATTCGATGGCATTCGCGCAGCCAAATCAGCCTCGTATCTTCCCAAAAAGCATGAATTATTAGCATCTTGAGAAGCTTCATCCTAAGGCCTTGTTCCACGATGTCGGAGACTTTTCGATCAGAGATGGACAGCTTTGAACCCAGCTCAATCAAGCTCCTCCTCGAGGATTGCGACGATGGCGCTGGCGAACGATCTTCAGAACTTTGTGAGTGTCTGCAGTAGCCAATTTATCACTCTTACAGCAGTTCTGGGTGCTGTTCATATTTGGAAACGACGCAAGGTGGAAAAGACGCTGATTTGTAAAATTTGGGGACCCGCGCAATTTGCTGGTTAGCCATCCTCTCCTCGTGCATCTTCGCCGCCAACGCTCGCTCTGTTGCGAAAGGCATATCTCCGACAAAAATAAAGCTAGTAGAACAGTTTTTGGAGGGCTTGTAACTACGGGTATAAGAAGCAAATATATATAATTAGCATGCAAGAATATGTAAAGAATCCGATCATACAGTGACATAAAAAATTGTTTAAAGACTTTCCCCCAACCCTGTACAAAAGAAACTTTCTTGTTGTCTTTATCTACGATTTTTTGAGAAGTAGTCAAAACTTTTGCTATCACATATCAACTAATCATAATCTTCTAGTATTACTGAAGGACAACTATAAAATGAGTAAATTGCAAAAACTCAATTATTTGAGTTTCTATGCTTAGGTTTCGTGCTGTGATGAACGTAGAGATGAGTACTTTGGTATTTGGATATGTATACTCCTGCTTTCTCTATTTAGCAGATATGATAAAATTTGTGATCTGTCATTTCAAACTTCGACTGAAAGAACGAAATATTCTGACAGCACAATGAGAAAATTGAGGTTTCTAATTCTTCGCACCTTTCTTTCAAAGTAAGACAAATTCTATTCGAACAGTATTTACATTCCAACTCTTACATTCTTACTGAAATGCTGTTTTCTAAAATACCGAACAATGGAAAAATATTTGTTTGCATTTGTAGGAGCTGCAAATGCGATCTAACATGACAAGTATTTTCTGAATGCCCAAAAAAATCGCTTAAATGACTTGCTTTGATAGGAATCTCAAAATGGTTTTCGAAAAATCAACTAAGCAGCGCTTGGGTACAAGAACACCTTGCTGCCTGGAATCTTCAAAAAAATTGCTTAGTGCGATTTTTGAGAATAGGCAACAGCCAAAATCAGATAATTGATTAAATTTATTTTTAGTGTTTCTAAAAACGCTCCCATTCTCTCTTTTCGACTTACATCGACAGAAGGAGCATATCCTCCACCAATAAGCGAATTCGACGTTCGTTTCAAGGTTGGAGCATCAACGTTCTGAAGTTCTTCCGTTTGAGTACAGGCATCTGACTTCCGCTGCTGTTGTGGTTGCTGGGGCTGCTGAGTTAGACGATTTCGCATCGATGATGCCAACGACGGTGGATCCATATATGAGGAAGGAATCGACTGAAATTAAATAATGGCCAAAATGCAATCACAGAAGCAAAACAAAAAAATTGGAATGTAATACTAAATAGGGAAGATTTGCTAGATTCTAAATGTTGCGTGCTTTTCTTTGATGGAGCGAAACTGAAAATCTGCAATGTATTAGGTGGGTCCAAAAGTTCGTCGCCGGATTTTCAAAGATCATAACTTCCTTCATTCTCGGTGGAAATTCTTGATTTAATTTTTATCTGAAAGAGGAAACCTTTCTCTTTACAGCCGTGTCTTTGCCATGAAATGCCATGAGAAAGTTCGAGAGTTAAAAGCAATTGAATAAAATTAGTCAAGATCGGCATTTTTTAAGCTGGATTACGAATAATTCCGGAAGTATTACTATATGATTTAGAAAGTTATGCTCTTTACTATAGTGCCTTTCCCGCGAATTAAAACGAAAAAGATCGAGAGTTATAAGCAATTAAAGAGCATTACACCAGTTTTCCAATTTTTGAGCATGCCCTAAAAAGCCCAAAAACGTCACAAAAAAGGCGGAAAAGCCAAGAACACGGGTTTTAAGACCTTCTCTTTCTAGTTGAGTGAAAATCGGACCAATCGAGAGCAATTTTGATTTTCGTGAGAAAAGCAGACTTGAACATTCGGAAATATTATGAAAATCAAAGTTGCTCCCGATTAGTCCGATTTACGCTCGGCTAAAAAGAAAATGTCACGGAACCATATTCTTGGCTTTCCCGCCTTTTTTGTGACCTTTTCAGGCTTTTCGGAATTTTTCGTAATCCAGCTTAAAAAATGCCGATCTTGAGTAATTTTATACAATTGCTTCTAACTTTCTAACTTCGCAAGCCACTTCATATCAAAGACACTCTTGTAAAGAAAAAGGTTCCCTCTTTCGAACAAAAGTTGATTCAAGAAATTTCACCGAGAAGGAAGGAAGTTATGATTTTCTGAAAATCTGGCAAACGAACTTTTGGACCCACCTAATAATTCTGTGATATAAAGTTAAGTATCATAAAGTAAGTTAATTAATATAAAGTAAAGAAGAAGTTAAGTAAATGTATTTGAGAATCTACTGGTTCGAATAAAATCTATGTTTGGGCTCGGCACGAGGTGGCTAGTTGAAAATGCAAAAAACGAAGTCCCCCTTGACTTTTGCAAATTTTTACGAAGTCCCCTTTGACCCTGCATAATTTCTAAAAATTCTCCAAAGAACGAAACGTCGATTTAAAAAAACGTCTCATTTTGGTGTCTTTTCGGCCACAAAAACGAAACCACCTTTGCTTTTCGTACCAAAAACGATATCCAGCTTACTTACAAGCCACCTGTGCCGAGTCCTGATCTATGCTTAAGCTGCTATTGCAAGATCTAACAATCTACTATAAACAATATTTTTGTGAATTGATAAGAAAGCACTTTTGTAAATTGATAAGAAAGTATTCTGATAAGTAAGTGGTAAGAACATTCCAATTTTTTATTTTCATTATTTTATTGTCTGCCTATGTCTCGCTCTTTATATTATATATTTTATGTTTTAGCTTCATAAGCTTTTTCTGTTGCCTCTTGATGCAAATTCAAAACCGGTGTTGAGTAAAGATTTTGATGTGCCTTATAGCCAAGAAACATTTCCAAAAACGTATGCGTCATTTCCAACACAAGTGCTAAGTGCTATTCAGTAATTTTTAAGCAAATTTGCAATTCTACAAGGGTTTTCAAGTATTATGTGAATTAAATAATTGATCAAACAGCAATCATCGATCATATTTGAGAAGTTCAACAGTTGAAGGCGACACATATGTCGGATACATGCGGGAAGTAGTTAGGATGACTGAAGAACAGCATGGAATTTATATTGAAGGACTTACTAGAGGGTCAGATCTCAAACCATTGCCGAAAATTCCGGTGACTATGTAAATTTTGTTTTTTTTTCAAGATTCCAGCCATTAATTTTGCGAATATTTTTGATGGAGTACAAGCAAACATCATAGTGTTGCAATGACGAAATTTGCTGCTTATAACGGTGCTAAAAAAAAACTCTGAGCTTGCAAATATAAGCACTTTTGAAAAAAGGTTTGAAATTCTAATTTTCACATTTATTAGATGAGTCCAAAAGTTCGTGCCGTTTTGAACCTCTTCTGAAATCGTTAGAATGTTGAAAGACAAATCGTTCAAAATTCTTCGATGCAGAATTTCTTCCTCTTTTCAGCGGCTATGTTTCCATTGTGACTGCTTCGACGAGCACTGAGATAATCGCCGAAAAGTAGAACACTTCATTTTACCATGTCTAACTTTCGCTAATTTTTAGAATTTTCATTTTAGACTCTGAAGTTGCGCAAATTAATGCAATTTTTTGCATCTCTCTGACATGCTTTCTAGAATTATTAAAATATATTTTCTGAAGTGACCAAATTTTATATTTGGCTCATTTTAACCTCGCGAAACATCAGACACTGAAAAGTTTGGGTACTATTCAATGCATCTTTTTCTCCTCTTTCTGACAGCTACCTTTTCTTCGGTAAACATGCGACTTTTGCAGAGAAAATCGCTGTACTTCCCAATTTCAGGGGTGCGCAAGGTTGTAGTGAAAATTCCAGGATCTATCCATTTTCACGCGGTAATCGCTCACTTACTTCGTAATACTAAAGATGGTAATAACCGAGTTCTTGGACTTCAATATTTTGAGGATTTCGCAGTGTTTGGTGCAATCATGTGCCACGCAATTTTTCCAAAATTCAATGCTCTGGTAAAATAATTCAGCAAAACTCTGAAGAAAAAGACGAAAAAATGCAAAAATTTGCTTTAATTTGAAAAAGGTTTGACTTATCATGAGGTTATTAGAGCACCTTCAAAAGTCTAGAATGAAAATTCTTGAAATTAGCGAAAGTCGGAAATGGTAAAATTGAAGCGTTCCAGTTTCCAACGATTATCGAAGCACTCACAACGTATACAACTGCTGAAAAGAGGAAGGAATTCTGCATCGAATATTTCAAAACGATTTGTCTACCTTCATTTTGATTTTAGAACAGGCTTAAAAAACGCGAACTTCCGTACCCACCTAAAAATTCAAATTTTGGGATGTTTCCCGAATTTTTGAAGGCTTTCGAAGCTGAAATTTGGCTGAAAAAAGGAGACGCGGCGGCAGCGGCTTAGGAATTTTTTTGCGAAGCGCATTTAATTCTTCAATAATTCTCGAAAATTATTTTAATCATTTACCAGTAAGGAATGTCATCTGCACATAAATTTGTAACTACTGGCTGGCAAACCCGGCTCCTCGCGGCCTTGTCAGTGATATGTTCATAATGGCATGCTCACTTATCTCCTATATTCCCAGCTCCGTAGCTCAAACTTTGCATAAAATCGAAATAATCGATATCGATCCATAAGGAAGAGTAGCCTATGACACCCGCACCTCCCCGATATATAAGATTATGCTGATGTCAAAATCGGCTCAGTATGCCCCTCCATCCTCCCAGTTTTCCACTCCTTCAGTCTGTCACTCAAAGTATAAGGACAACCGTCCTGCTATAAAGTGTCCGTTTCAAAATTCCTGCTGTATACAAGCAAAGGTGCAACCCTTTCGGGAATGTCTGGAAAGCTCAAAAAACAAATCTCATACCAGACCCAAAGCTCGGTCATCTCAAGAGGACCGACTTTTTTTTGATTGACATGTTCGTGTAGGGTCTTCTATTTAAAAGAAAGTTTGGCAACGTTGCATTGATCGCATCGCCTGTATAAATACCGCCTCTCTCACAGGCTCACAACACACACACATTCTCTCTGTGGGAATGAACCTCAGCACATTATTCGCAGTATTTTTCTCACTAACTTCAGTCTATGCACAGGTTCGCGCAATTCATGTCTGGTTTGCTTTTTAGATTGTAGACATAGTCGTAAAAAGCACTAGAGTTTAGTAAGGCAAACAAACACAAGAACTAGTCTTTCGTTTCTTTGCGAAGAGAGACCAATGTGCATTTTGCACCGTTTTGAACGCGCTGTCCAGAAGTCGCGGCGAAAGATCGATGCCGCGGCCATTCTGCCATGAAACTATCAGCATCATTTTGCACTAGCATCCTTTAACGCAGTATTCTTTCCTCTCGGTAATCTTCTTTCAATAAGCAAATATGTAAAATTCGTACAGTTTGAGCTTTTTTTCGCGCCACGCAATTTTGCAGAAACAAAATTTCGTAACAACTAGTGATGTGTTCTTGTGACTAGTGCTGCAAATTGCAGAGACTGATCGTGTTGTTCGTTGAAAAACTCTTATTTCCAAGTTTCAATGTATGCATTTGCGGTAACAGGGGTAAGTTTGAAATTATTGAAGCAATTCCATATTTATTTTACTCCATCTTCACCCTTATTACCGGGAAATCAAATTTCGCGCTCGCATTATTGAATCGTCCAAGCAAAGTGATACTAATTTAACGATTGATTTGCTACACTTTGATAAGAATCCGTTTTTTTTTATTTGCCTCCGATTTTCAACAACAAACATCAATCGTTTTCGTCTTTGTTTGAAGAAAATCTGGTGAAAAATTCAGAAGAATAAGTTCACTTACTGTGACAGAGTACAGTTGCAAGGATCTTTTTTGTTATTAAGAACGCTCTTTACTTCAATTACCTCACATTTCTCCAAGTACTCGGACTGCAGTTGAAGAGTATATTAACTGAATGATCTTATTTTTTGATGTAAAAAACGCAATTGCGTTCAAATTAGTTCCTGTAATTGTTTGTGTGTTCTATGTTCGATCAAACTACCATCAATAAAATATCGTTCACGAAGACTGCTATGAGTCAACTATTTTGATGGCATATGCGGTGAATGTCAATGTATTAGTTGCCCATTATATTATATTAGATCACCGTCTACTGCAATAAAGTTGAAAATTTGTATGCTCATTTCATTACTTTGGTGGCCAAAAAATCTTATACGCACAGCACAAACTTGGTAAACCGTTTTGTACCATTCTTTTGGAATTTTGCTGTGCAAAGAAAGCGAAAATATTAACAAGTATCCAAGGCCAAATTGATTTTTGGTATAACTGGTCATCTGACTTGCAGAGTTAGAAGTTGCTTTGCAGGTAAATGGGCAATTTCCATTCAATGGCGGGAATCCTTTTCAGGTGAGGAAAATATAGAGCTTTTGCCGCTGGAAAAGCATTATAAATTGATAGTTTTTTTAATAATTCCTAGTTGAATATATTCAGGACATTAGAAACCAAAATTTCAGGGAGGTCCATTCGACCCTAATTTTGGACCAAATCTAGCGAGGCAAATACAGAGCTCCGTTCAAAGCTCGCTAAATACGGCCTTTTCTCAAGGCTCGAATATGAGAGGAACATCCATGATTAGTAGTTCCGGGGGTGGCATGATTACTACCACCATTGGCGGGCGCACCTATACTGCTCGAATACCTTCAGCCAGTTCAGTCTCTACCCAGAGCTCTATCACCAACAACAATGGGCAAATGCAGGAAAGGGTGGTAGTGACTATTAACGGAGACACAACCGTCTACACTACTGTCAACGGACACACCACAGTCACTGATGGACAAGGAAATCCCCGTCCGGATGGTGGTCCCTTTCACATCGGCACACAGCAACGCTTCAATTAAAGCGATATTGAGCAAAAGGTTTCAAGAGCTCAAGCTGATAGGGCTTGTTTTACAACTGGTTGCGCGGGCGGCATGATAACCTGGTTGTGTGTGCTAATCTGATTGATTGATAAGCCGATAACATTAATAAATTCTTTTGAGCACTCAGCTGAATATGCTTGATTTGATAAACAGGGCATTTGAAAAAATGGTAACAATGGCGCAACCGCGCGCGACACGCACGCACATTCCCGGCAACCGCATTTTCTAGGTTTTTTGCGATTATGAGAGGTATGCCCAGGCTCAAAATGTGCTCTCCGAATTCTCAATCTCAAAAAGTTCCGTTCGGTTTTACCTATCTAAGAACTCTCTAAACTCTTGGAAGTTGTTGTAATGTAGAATAATGTAAATTTTTTCATCATACAAAGCGAATACCTGCCTTTATAATTCATCATTATTTTGAGTAAAAAACTCCCGCAGTTCAAAAGGATCCTCAATAAATTGACAGATCATTGAGAAAAAGATGTAAAAAAAATGAAAGGTGAAAGTGAGGAGAAGATGGATGCATATAACACCCCACTCAGCCGTGTTTGTATTGAGTCCATCAAACTCACTATCTTCGGATTCTAGTTGAATAACAACTTGATCCGAATATTTTCAGCGCCAATAGAGTGAAAAGTTTTCTAAAAATTCTACAAAATTAAAAGTCTCGCTCTGTTTTGAATAGGATGTTTCTGGTCTTCACTAGAATATTCTCTCGCGAAAAATGTCGTTCTCATAACGACAGACATATTCTACAGTTGTAGCGATGGGATCCGGCTTGAGGGACTTGCGAGACCTGCGGGATTTATAACTTCTTCTAAAACAACTTTCTTTGGAGTCTGCAAGAACATTGAGCTTTAGCTTAATGAGACGAATCATTTAGTATACATTATGCCCGTTTTCCATAATGCATTGTATATTGTATTGGCATATGTTATGAGATTATCAATATGTATTGTTGCTCATGTGAAAAAAACTTTGAAAAAAAAACTAGTATTATATGTCTATCGCATCACCATAGGCACGGGCTTAATGTATATTAAATCATCGGGCTAAAACCAAATCTTCTTGCATACTCCAAATAGTGTTTCAGAAGAAGTTATCACTGAATCCTGCAAATTCCGCAATTTTGGCCGGATTCCACTGCTACAGCTGTATACCCAAGTGCTCTCAATATTGCACTCAAATTTTTTGTGCAGGTTAGGTACTTGTTTAAATTAGTACAACTGAAAATTTTTGCATAAACCGTTCTTGAACAAATTGGAAAACTGCTGATACAAAGCAGAAATCACCGAATCCTACCTCAAGTGAAATCTCCGCTGGATTCTCATAAAGCGGTGGGCTTATCGACGTCGAAGAAATTGTTGAGTCATCGAATTTTGACTTGAAGTCGCCGAACATTTCTGACAGCAGCGGATCACCACTTTGTCGACCCCCAAACGCTTGACAAAACTGCATGTTCTCGCTCATCAGTCCCGAAAGGGTCTGTAAACAATATATGTTTCCGCTAATCTCAACTGCGTATGTGAGACAATTTGCAGCCTCATATGATACAGATTGGCACAAAGTGTGTGTAAATAAATGTTTTGGGTGATGACGAGGAATGTGTGCCATGGTAGTAAAAATGCAGGTTCTGGAGTACTCACAGTAATGGTAGGCAGTAGAAGAAGTAGATTCCCAAAACGACTGCTTGCTGTGTAGATCGGATGCAGTTCTTTAACTATTTGAAACAGCATATCCTGCACTTTGTCGCGAAGTTCGCCGATGGCAACCTTGGCTCGGTCAGACAGTCCTTTTGCATCTAAACTTTCACTTCAAAGTTGAAAGCTATTCCGAACTTGCGAGACGAGTTTGCTGTGAGTGAGAAAGCAAATATCAGAGCGGAAAATATTTAGTGGTTTGAGTTCTACCCTTCAAAATCGACCGACTCTGAAAACCTACTCGGATTCAAGATAATGATTGCCTTTAGCGGTACGATCTCTTCTTCTTTAAGGTTCAGCTTTCGCAGTGGTGCCACAAGCTCGTTCAGCGTCCGGTCAATAAGCACATTTGAGAGATGGCTAAATAAATAGAAGTTTTTGATATATCAGTCCAGTGTTTAAATGTAGGACCCAAGTCCTACTGACAACATTTTTTTCCATTATTGAGGATCCATCAGGAATTATCTCTGATGCCAAAAATTTTTAATTTAGAATTACTTTCGAAATCGTAAATTGTAACCTCTTTGCTTATGTTAGCGCCAAGCTTGCATTTCGACCACGCTTTATCTCTAACGACAACTGGTGTTTGTGCCTAATCGCACTTATCTAACAGATCCAGCATCTGTTGGACGCGTGAGGTTCGACAAACATAGAAATGATTCAAGACCAGCTGACTGGCTCACTTTGTCTCGTTGAACTCCGGTGGTAGGCGTCGTGGGACGTAGGAATGACTACACAAGCAAAGAATGTCGGGATTCGGAGTGTTCTGAGCTGTTCGTGCTGAGAAGTTGAAAATGGTCAGCGGAGAGTAGCAGGATTTTACGAGTGCTACCTAAAAATTGTTGTCTTTCTAGTTCATTTGATGGGATGAATTGTGATATTGCTGCAAGAGTAAAATTAATACTCTGTTGCGCAAAATATGTCCAAAGTTGATGGAGACGTCCTATATTCCTGGTACGATTTTTTGGGTAGGGGAACGAACTTCGCCAGTTTGAGCCTCCTTCGCTGGCAACTGGTCCTTTTTCTATATTGTTGCATGTCGTTGCAGGACCACTAGTCCGCGGAGGCGGTTCAAACTGTCGGAGTTTCCCTATCCCGATTATTTTCTCAAAAGTTTCATGGTTAAGCAGAATAAAGAAGACCCCCCCCCCCTCCACTTCTACTCTCTTTCTTTCTCTCACCTTGTCTTCCGTTTCGGCCACCTCTGCGATTTCCGTCAGGCTATCTACCCAGTCTACAGCAGCGATTGCTCTTCGATGAGCGATTTCGGAGAGCTCCTCTGTCCGAGCCATTCGAAAAGGTTCGTACCTCATCTGGAGAATAAAAGGATCAAAAATGCGTGGGGAAAAAGTCATAAGGAATCAATGTAAATGAATGCATCATGATAGAAAAGATTGGAATGTGGTTGAAAAGGTAGAAATTTGAGAAAACTTCGATCATGTTGAATATGGACGTCGCTGAAGTTCCGTAAAGGCCGGGCATACTTCATGCGTCACTCGCGACGCGATTTGGCAATATTCCAACTGTCTATAACTCACTGTAATCACTTTTTAAATGTACAGAAGACAGTTCATTTTATCAATCCATGTAAGTTATACACACTATGCATGTGCAGTTTGCTAGTGTTGGATCTGAAGACTTCTGGCGAATTGCCAAATGGCGTCGCGGCTGAAATCGCGTGAAGTATGCCCGACCCTAAGGAATTTGTGTTTGAGATGATACCTATGACAATTGAGTGAAGTACTCAAATTATGCTATTATGGCTACAGTGAAGAATTTCTACTATATTGAATTGCACTTTCAAACACGTAATGTTTTACTTTTCTCCCCAAATCCTATCGCTCCTCCGCGATGCGAGGCTGTCAAACGGAGAGCTATATATAGCCGCACCCATTGCGGCTGTATTTTCCCCTATGTTCATTGTCTTCTTTCGAGTATTGTTAATTGATTGAATATTATTGTGCCTGGCAGCGTCTGGCAAGATCCCGTATAAATGTTCTGAACAAGCAGAACGATTACAGATAACCACCGAGTGCAGGCGGTCCGCAAACTCTCGCTTTTCTGCAAGTGGCCAACAAAATTTTCGGGCGTGGTCAGACCTTTACCGAGTGCTACATTTGTGTTCTGTTAGCATGAAGAAAAACAAAATTTTTTGCAAGCGCTCGTCAAATAAATTCTTTCAGCGAGCGCGGGCCAAACTTTCAGCAGGCGCTCGGACTCTTTCTACGCAATTTCGGGGGTACGTTGAGCAAAGGTAACACTCTACATAACAGAGGTGTCACCGATGGTTCAATTACCCGAGTTTAGGGTATTTGCTCACCGGAAGGTACCTATCCTTTGTGAAGGCCGTGCGGGCCCCAACAATCTTGCATATTCTCGCGGAACCGCTGCGCCGCAACTAATCTTTGAAAAAGCCGCAATTGTTTTCCGATCACTCGTCTGAAATTTCGCCAAAATTCTTCCAAATAAATAGGGTCCGCAAGAAATCAGCGAGCTACTTTTCCGGTGCCCGCCTGCCCATAAATCGCATGGCCGTCTGCCCCCGGCGATTATCTGAGTAGTTGGACATGGATGGAAAGATTCGTTTGTAGTTTGAAGATTCGAGCAGTACCATCCGCAAGAGCGAAGAGGGTTGTGCCGTTCCATATAGACCAGGCGTCGTACGGCGGACATGAGAGGAACCCTCTTCGTGCTGGTGGTCTGGTACGTCTGGTGGAGTGAATGTTTTCTGTGCCATCAGTGGCGCGGGGTATCGCCGCTCGCCACGCGATGCAGGGTTTAGTAGTTTTAAATAGCTTTAATGCTGGTTCAGAGTTCTTTATGTTATTCAAGACAAACTTATGTACCCTATTTTCAAGTGTATAAGCCGCACCCTTTTTGCTCTAAACGCGAGCAGACCCAGGCGTGCCGCCGCGCATATGTCTCGCGAAGCGGTCGCCTTATCGCATACTGCTCTCACTTAACGCGCTCCATGATGACAGTCAGTCTTTTGGCGTGTTCGTCTTTAGAGCGAAAAGGGTGCGGCTTATACACCTGAAAATAGGGTAGTATTGCTCGTCTATAATCTCTTACATTCTAGTCGCACTTGTATTGAGTATTCGGGTAGGAGTAGTTCGCGACACTGTCGCGCAGGCTGGGGCCCAGTTTACACGGTCGTTAGTAACATCCCAAGAATGTGGGATCGGGTATATTAGCGAGCGGTGAAAAGTGATGAGCCCCAAGGCGCGCAACCCATGAATATTTGACGAAACGCTTTAGCACCCTTGTTTTCCCCGTGATCAAATTTCTTTCCAAACGTTTTTACCTCTGTTCTTCGTCCATCCATTGACGGCTTTTGTTCGAACATCTCCTTTAACGAAATATTTCTCGAATCCTTTGACGGTTGCATATTACTGCTCATATTGTTGTCACCTTTGACGACCTGTTGACAAGGAAATACTGTTATGACTTGAAGGAACTGCATGAGGTGGTTTGACTCTTACCAAAATAAAAGGAAATGATGTTTTATTTCTTACCTTGGCTTCAATATTCATAAGTTGTAGTAATAATATTCGGGTGTCGTTGTTGAGCTTCCTGGACCAGTCATCTCCATGCAATCGCAACTAAAACGATTATTTTTTGAAACTTTCACGTTCATTCAATTTGAGTTGTCCAAATTTTTGTCTCGGGGACGAGTGCCGTAGTGGTATGAGGCGCCACTATGACCAGATCGGACACAGGTTCGATCCCCGCCCCTGGGCCAACCAAGCCCTTTACCCTCCGGGGCCGGTAAATTGGTACCAGAGTAATCTGGGAGGATAAAAGCACTGACTTGGAAACGGCTGGCCCCCGCAAGTCACTGTAATAGGCTCGCACGCATACAATTGCCTCTTCGACTATGAAGTTAGTGTGTGCGTTCGGCGCATGCCCGCAGAGGGTATTGAAGACGCCGAATCCTTTATCCTTTATCCTTTTATTTAATTTTTGTCTCTTCATGTCTCAGAAAGTTGAATACGATCCTTCGATTGCATTATCACTCAAAAAAGTGCACTCACCACATGGCTCAACAATTCTTCGTCAATAGGTTTTTTTCTTATCCGCGGCACTTTTTGTTTACCCGTAAGATCTCGGTCAGGACGAACAGCTGTAAGGTAATCCCAAATTCAGAACATACATTCACTTCCGGCAAAAAAAGTCTAGGCAAATAGCTTACCCTTTGGGTCCATCCCAACTTCGATGCATCGATTGAATCGACAATATCGACAACTATTTCGTTGAACTGAAAATGAATCCCTTAGAAAATGAGTGCAGAAATTAGGGCACGAAAATATGCTGGTCTGAAACGCATTTGTTTTGTACAATGGTATTTTTGTGTTTATTTTTTCAGTCTTCTGCTCCCCCTCCCCTCATCCCCGATGATTTTTGTCAAACTGACCAATTTGTTTTCCCGCATTTTCAATTTTTTGCACATTCAAGTCTAGATATTATAGTAATTATGGCTGTCCTATAGTGGAAGCAAGAAATGTTAAAATGACAAAATTTCATTGTGCAGGGGAGGGGAGAGGGGTTCTGCTGCACTTTTGAGAATTTTAATTATGACTCCTCGAAAAAGCCCACAATCCTTATTAGATAAAAATACGCAATGAATTTATGGCGTAAACATTTTGCCACACTAGGGTCAGAAATTTATACTCGGATAGCTGTTTTTTCGCCGTTTTTTTCTGCCCCTGCATTTTTTAACGTAAACTTGAAGCTAACAATTGTGTAAAATCTGTATGATCCTGATAACAATTGATTTTTTCCCAGGAAAACTGGGAAATTTGCACTTAAAGAATTATTTGGACACAAAACATATGCAGTGATTGATTTGCTCGATCAATCTCACGTGGGTAATGACGAATGAACAAACAAAAGAATTGATGAGACGACCTATTGAAACCTATCTGCAAGCTATTTTTTGCGAATCACCTTGTGAATATTGCAAAAATACAAATATGTGGAAAATAACTTACACTTGTCAACAACACAGTTGTTACCAAATCTACAAGCATAACGATATTTTCCGGTCAGCGTCCGCCGAAAGAAACCCTTGCACCCATAGCAGGCAAGCACCTGGAAAATATTTTTTTGGGATTTCTGAATTCAAGAAAGTTTGCTCTACCCTACCCCATAATGGAGCTTTGCATGTCCATCGCCACAAACAGCACAAATCGCTTCACCAGGTGCGTTTTTGTCCTTGATTTGATAGGAAACCGTCGGTGTAGCTGACGATGGGGCCGATGACAGCATTATCGGCATTCTGTAAAAAAATAGTAAATGTACTTTAATTGAGGAACTTCCTGATTGTCGTTTTTTATAAAATTAAATAGCAGAAAGAGCCAACCCTGTGCCAGTGTGGTTATTTTCAAAGCTTTCATAACCGATACCTATTACTGAACTACGCCCATAAAAAGCAATATATCACACAATATCTAGAATTTTCTCAAATTTTACGAGCACTTAGCCACAATGACATTTTCGAAGTTAGGTAAAGTAAGTGCCTTGTCAAACCAAATCAATTTTGAAATTCTATCTCCTCCTTTCTAGTGAGCCATCTCAAGTAAATAGTTCATCCTTCCCCTATCTTCAAGAAAGTGCAACCAATCATATGTCTATTTCTTTGACAGAGATGGAAAAGAAAATCAAAGCTAAGTAATAATGACAACTGCAAGTTACGAAAAGATCTGTTTGGATGCAAAATAAGACTCAAATAAATAGAACTTGGCAGGTTCGAATGATTGATGGGCCGAATTTCATGTGAACATCGGGGTATTTTTTTGTGGAAAATGAGCAAACAAGGTTTTCATAACAAAGCAAGAAGATTATCATGTGAGATACCACAAAGCTAATTATAAGTATAATATGGGGGAATGATTATAGAGCAAGCGATTGGACTATTTCCTTATCAAGTAGATAGAGGTTTGGAGAAAATTTATACTTTATTCTGTATCAATTTAAATTTCATAACAACATTTAATGATAATTGCATATGATGATAATAGCATAGCCTGTATAGGAGTTGAATTATTTTGTTCTTTGTTTTGTCCTAGTGCTATCTTCTTAACAAGTTTACCTGTATTGGTTTTGAAAAATAATAGAAAAATAATTTAGAATATTTTAGTTTCTAGAAAGAAAATTATTCAAATGTGCTGCGTGACCCAATAGATTCTGTGAATTATTGAAAATTATTTTTACTAGCTAAAAGGCTATAGAAAAGCGTATTTCCGTGATGATGTAAAAGTTCAGTTTATCATAAATAGCCAAAAAGCCACAAGATATCATATTTCCAATGGTTTTTTAAAAATTCTGTTATATAAGGAGCATAGTTTACTTGCAGGGAACACCCCAACGGTTCAAAAAATATTCAAAAATTTGAAACTTGAAATAGGAGGATGATTAGCTATTGGAAATTATTTGAAGTTATGACATCTTTTCTAAGATTATTTTGAAATATCTAATTATGGAAAAAAGCATATGGCTACCTCTTGCAGCAAACTAGTCCAATCCCAAAAATTGCAAAATTTCAGAAAACCAAAAGGGCAATGACGGAACAGTAGGTCTTTTATCAGGAAAAATGCAAAGTGGATGATGTCATTCCCAGAACTGCACTTCTTTTTCTGGTGAATAGGAAAGCCTAAGCATTCTCGCGTCATTCCGTGACAAACACGTGTTGAGCTGATGCTTTCCCGAAAGAAATTGTTCAAACAAAACACAATATCAGCTCCCCTCGTAAAATACTATAAATAAATAGCATGGACTGGTATTTGATGATATATCGAGGGCAGAGATTCAACTGAAGGAAAATAATCCTCTGTTGTTTGGCACACTTTCAGCATGATTTGGTTGCAGTAACTCAAAGAACAGACGGTTTGCAATGTTTGCAGGAATGTGATAGTAGTAATTTTTTGTAATTATTTTTTTGCTCGCTTTTTCACATTTCAACACACTATGAGTGCTTTACAAACGAATAGATGATTGGCACGCTGAGCACGTGCCACAAAGCCCAGAAGAAGATATAAATCTAAGAAATTTCTTTGAAAAAGTTACAAAAATCAAATATTGGGGTGTCCCATAATTTTTTACTATTTTTACCCTGAAGATCTGCGTTTCTTGAGAACTGAAGCACCTACGAGGGGTACAAATACACGATTGTGCTTTTGTATGTATATGGGCTACATGACCACGTGCGTGGGAGGAACTCAGGACATCCAGGGGCAGACTTTGCCATTTCACTTCATTCATTTTTTCTCTATTTCTAGCCATGGAAAAAATATGAAAATTTTACATTTGGATGTTTGATGTGTCAAGCATGTGCAAAGAAAACGGGAAAAAGATTTTTGTGGGGCGCAGATACGATTTTTGACAGTGAAGTTCATTTTTGACTGCTATCAGATTTCAGCTCAAAACTTCATGTGGAATACGATTTAGGCAAACTATTGATAGCCTTCTTGTAGAGCTTGCTTTTCCTTATCAAATGATTACCCAAGCCAAATCAGTTGAAGGAAAGGTACAAAAAAACGGCGGTTGTAATAAAAACAATAAAAAATTATGCGACACCCTAACAGTACTGAAAAATCCAAAATAAACGGAAAAATCAGCGAAAAGCTGCTGCTCAAAAAGAAGTTCGATATTTCTGGAGTCTCTAAATGGAAAGGCAGCAAGAAAATTCAATTCAAACAGAGTATGTTAAAAAAACAGCAACTACCAAATTTCTTAATGCTTAAAAAGTCTGGATCGAATTTCGAAAATTTATAGGCAAGATCCGAACAAATAGGAATTTCATTATTGGGAAATATGAGTCACAGAAAAAAGCTAGTACATACATTTTAAAGTTTTCTAGACTTCGGTAACATAAACTTACTTGTTCTGATAAAATTTTGATCATTTTGTAAGTCACTAATTGGAGGAGAAAGATGAAAAGAGATTCAGAATAGCAGGAACTTGAGGATGTGAACATTTCCAACATTTTGATGTCTGATGAATCGATGCAATGGGCCTTGAGAAAATTCGCTAATCTCGAAAAAAATGCAAAACTTAATCATAGAAACAGAAAACTTTCGCCTTTCATTGGATGATGAATACGTACTTCAAATAAGAGAAAAAAAAGTTTTTGAACACTCCGTTTCGTTCCTTCCCCTAAACGGAGTAAAGGAGCTCAGAACTTTCCCCGGAACTCCTCAGTAAGGAAGGAGAGTTCAGGAGTCCTGTGTATATTTCATATTTCAAGTTTTGGTACCGATCAAATGAGGGGATCGGATGAAAATCGAACAAAATGGATCGCCTCCTGACGTTCGATTTATTTGGCAAAGAACAGAGCTTATGAAACGTTAGCAGAAACCTTATGACTCAAAAAAATAGGGAATAGCCAACTTTCGTTTGAGGAATCATGTTTCGAAACGTAATTTGTGTGTATACAAGTGATAGAGTATGTCTGTGGTAGAAGTTCGGATCGATAGCAGTGATAATGGAAGTTCCGCCCAAATGTAGCCCCCTAGCCGCAAACAGTCTGTGCCCACTTGGCCTTAAATGGAATTTCTTAAGAAAGTTAATGGTTCTAAGAGAGTGATGTATGTTTTGAATAAGGAAATGATGCCCAGAAGCTTGTCAGTAAGATTTTTGAGAGAAAAATTAGAAATTAGTACAAGCAAAGGACTAAGCTCGTTCTCAGCTGTGGGAAGATGACAAACAAAGGAGAAATCGTTGCTGAGCACTTCCTCACTAGTCATTTGTACTCAAACACCCCTGCACAGCACGATTTGAAGAAATTTGGCGAAGAACAACATTTTGAGAGTAAAGCATAGAAAATTATCAGGTACAGAAATTAGGGCGGTGAATCATGTATTGATGAAAGTGGAGGTAAGATAAGCACTTAAGAAACTTCTAATCTAGTAGATAGGAGAAGCAAATGTCATTAAGAAATCACAAATCGTACGAAGAAAAATCTTAATCAAGCCACTTGCCAACTGCAAAAAACTTCAAGGTGTTGTGTTAGTCAGAAATTATAAGATTATAAGAGCTTTAGACTCAGTCGTTCCATTTGAAACAGCAAAAGAAGAAGCTTGGAAAGGATTACATAGATTTGGCGAGAAAAGCTACAGTATTCCCAACAAAATTCATCTTATGTTAACAAAAAGTTCATAGGGAAGAATCTTAAATATTAAGGAAGAACAGGCTGTTGAGAATATTTACATAGGCAGCTAAACTTATAGATTCCCTAGAAGATGCAAAATCCTAAGGTTTTTTGATTTTTTTCAAATGCTGGAAATCAAGAAATCAAGGATTAAGATATAATGCGAATACTTTAAATAAGACTTGGATAATAAATAATACGCAAATTATGTCTTGATTTTCGGTGGGAAACCCAGAACTAAATGACAACAGCTTAGTTCCTCATTTTTCAAAATTATAGAGGTGCTGGAAAAGAGAAGAGAGCGAAGAAGATAAGTTTTGAAAAAAATCTATAATTATGTAGCGCTTTTTTTTTTCGGGAATCACCAGGAATGTAGATTTCAATTGTCAAGCTTCTTAATCAATCCAAAGCCTTTTTTATTCACAAGATATTATTTGACCGCCCCCATCACCTCTCCTTCCATCTTCTCAATTCTAAAAATTCATTCTAACAAAGTTCATACATCTCTTCTCAAAGCACTTTTACTTTTGTGCCATTAAGTTTCCTAGCAAATGGTCAGCACTAAAAAGTAGCCTCCAGAAAACTTAACAAGATATGAAAGCAGCTACTAGTCTGGAACTGGTAAAGTTAATGAACAATAATGAAAAGTGGTTTTAGTCAACTAAAAAAAAATGCTCAGCAATTTTAGCGCAGGATGGAAGTTTTGCAGAAAGCAATTTCCAGCTCAAGCATAATGTTCGAGAAATCTATAGCAGTAATATTCCACAAATCTAAAATTTTTCTCGGACTTTTCCAAATGTTTCTTTGTTGAGATAACGCAATTTTTCCATGAATATTTTAAACAAAAATTTTAGGGAACAAAAACTCAAATAAGATGGATGGTCTGAATTACCAAAATAATATAATAAGATGGTCGGAAATACCAAAAAAGTAACCAAATAATTATAACGAAAATCTTATTTGTACCAAATGGCATTGCTACCAAAGATAGTTACGTACTGAAAAGAATGGGATATGATGCGACGGGGTGCATCTTTGCGCTCTTATCAATCACTTATGTATGCACTTTCTTGCAATTTCTTCTCACTACCGTTTGACTGCTTCAAATCGTAAATTTTTTACGTGCCAAACATTGTTGGTGTTTTGGAAGAAAGTAGCGTGATTTAGGCTCATGTAAATACATTTTTTGAATGGTTAAAAATTTTTTGAAGTGATATTGCCACTCCCAGAAGACAACAGTTATAATAGAAAATGAGCATAAAAAAATTTAAAAGGTTTATTAATGAAGGGTATTATCAAGATATCAATTATTCTAGAGGTGGTAATCTTGAAAAATTTTGTTAGACGTTTTTCACAGTATAAAAAAACGATGAATTTCTTTAGTAGTTAGAATGATAAAATACTCCAACGGTGCCTTTTAGTCTATTTTTGCAAAATCCGTTTTTGTGGAATTATCACCGCTTTGTTTTTGTTGAACAAATTGAAAAGCAGTGAAATACCAAAGAAAATAACCTGAGCCTAATTGTTTTCCAAATAAAAATTCTGAAGCAAAATTGTCTCAGCTTGAACAAAGAAAATGAAAAAACTCCTCCATAAAGATACTGAAAAAAGTTATTTTTCTACGATTTATTCAGTGATAATTTGAGATTTGATCAGTTCTCAGCCAAAATGGAATTGAAGAGCAAAAATCATCAACAGTCTTTCTTTCAGTGATCTCCTCTGCCTTATTGTTGCAAAAAATTTGTGGAATTTTTTTTTTGCAAAAAACACATAGGCCAAAGGTTTAGAGTATCGATTTCTTTTGACTTTTTAGCTCTCGATTACTCGAAGGGAATAGGGAAAGTGTAATTCGATCAACGTTTTTAATTCTATCAATAAAAACAAGAATAGACATAGCAGTTATAGACACACTGAAGTCCAAGAAAGTCCAAAATTTTGGATATTACAAATGAACATTTTCAAATTCCGGAAGCAAAGTTCAAAATCTTTCAACTTGCGCATCAACCCAATACGATACCTTAAGCAGTTTACGATTAGATTGACCTCGCATGACATCACCTTGTTCGTAATTTGCATGGCTAGCTGTATCGGGGAGGGGGGGGGGGGGGTTGAAATTCGAGATCCGGTCAGAGAGAAACTACGCCGTCGACAACGACGACGACGACCTGATCAAGGACGCGCTCGTCATGCGTTGTAACGTATCCCAAAACGGCTGCCAATAGATTTGATAGCGCGTGTATTGCAGATTTTCATGGGCATTTCTTAATCATCCAGTTATTATTTGAAACGCACTGAGAATTTTTGGAAAACAATTAACGCGCAGTTGTTTAGGTCATTTCAAACTTCTTTTCGTTTACCAAAAATAATTCGGTGAAACTCAACAAATAAAAATTTCTAAAGTTAAAGGGATGCCTTAGGTCTGCACTGAAGGTTCGCAAATTTTACATTAAAAAAAATCATGCTTTCTCTGTATCTCTGGCATCTGTGAGTCTCTGATTTTGCTTTAAAAAAGTATCCTGCGGTTTTTTTTAACTTTGAAATGCATTGCATTAAGAGCGGGTGTCAGGAATCGAAGCCGAAAAAGAATTTGTCTGAACTTTGCGTTTTCAACGAATTAGAATGTTCAATAAAGTAATTTCATGATCTACTAGATAAACGTAGAGCATATAGAAAATGTTTCAAAATCTTTTGAAATTTTTTTTTCCAGAAGAGGTGCAACAAAAACCTTTTGCTTATCTAAGAGTTTGGAAAATGTGGCGATTTTTGAGGAATCATGATAGTTGTTAGAGATTCCAAAACTTGTGAATGAACTTCTCAATTCTGAAAGGAAAAGATGAAAAGTTTTTATCTCCAAACACTATTATTCTCATAAACTACTGACGAGAACTTACAAGAACATAAACAATGAAAAAACATGTTGGCAATAGCCCAAGAGATCAACAAAAATGATGGATATGTAGGTCCTAGAAGCGAAGAAGCATAGGGGTGTGGTCTATCAAAACTACAAAAAAAAAGAAAAGTGCGGGTCCCATGACGGCTAAGGGATGATAAGCAAATAACTTATTGGGATGAGTGCCTTCTAGAAAAACTTATCAAAGGAATTAGACAGATAATTTTCGAAAAAACACACAAAGCTGATCACAGATGAAGCATTACCGCAGTTGTAAGAATCGCACATTTTTTCGTGTCAGATTGATTTTCTATCTGATTAGCCTACTTCTAATGTGATTTCTCTCTTATCGAGAATCACGTGAATGGAATTTTTTGATATAATATTTAGTTCTCTAAAACATTATGATTTATTGCCTCTATTAAGATGGAAGCAGAGAAGTACTGAAAATGTAGCTTGCAAAGTCGAGAAGAGAAGACTCTCAAGTGCAAATTGAAGTGCAAATGTTGAAGTCGATAATGGCAAGGCAAAAATTCAAATAATATTTTGCATTTTTTCTCGAAATACCAACTAATGGAAAAAAATTCAATTGGTTAGTAGAATCAAGAACCCTGTATTCTTTGAACATCAACAAAGGGAAAATGAATCACAACACGTCATAGAAATTCAGACATCTTTCTTTCATGTGCAATAAGCCTTGAAATGTGAGAATTGACGACGAAAGCCCCCCCCCCCCCTCCTTGACCATGAAAGCGAAAAGCGAAATGAAAGAGCGAAATCAATGCGCTTTCCCCTCAGATTTTATCTTCCGAACCAATCGGCACATGCTTTCAGTGCTAAATCGGACACTCGGACAGCGTTTGAGATGTTTGAAGGTTCTTTGATTCTTTTTGTATCCAGAAGAAACCACTACGTCAACGGATCCGGAGAATTCTGTTCTTTGCCTCATTTTATATGAAGAATTTTTATGCAGTTGCTCTCCCTACGTAATCAGAGTTGATAAGCACAGGCATCACTCTCAGAAATTTCTCGCACAACCATAAATTTCGCTCCGATTCGAGTCGATTTCGAAGAGGATTTGCATTTTGAGTTGCTACGCATCCCAGATTATGCTAACCCCCGGGCCCCGGCGAGCTGAACCCGGGCCGACCAGCGTCCCGCTGCCCAAAACAGTCCCTGATTGGGGAAGCGATTACATTTGCAACGATACGAAACAAAAAAACCAATTCTCACCTTTGAACTTTGTAGATTTTTGAGGGAACGTCATGGATTGTGTAGCTTTGTTCCGGTTCTTCTTCATATTCCTCTTCTTGTTGCCAATAATCAAAGCTCATACCCTGGAATAAACATTGTCTTGCAAATATTTACTTCTCGAAAAACGACAACAGCTGGGCGAGGGTAAAAGCTTAAGAGAAGACACTGAGTAAAGTAGTTATTGGTTGTTCAGCTTAAGTTAGCGCTTTCGTAAGGAACTAGTAAGATGCGAAAAGCTTGTTTGGAGCATCAACTTTCACAGATGCCCCGAGTTAAGCTTCTTGGTGTCATGCTGTTGTTGTGAAGGTTTTGAAAAAAGGAAGAGAGAAAAAGGAATGAGAGGGAAATGGAATGAAGTAAGTGATGGAGTTGGTGGAGCTATGTAGAAATAAGCAATCAATTTCTACAGCTTACTTTTGCTAAACTATAACGGTGGAAAAAAGATACTGTGACCTAATCCAAACAAGAAAATTATGCTATTACAAATCCGACTGCGAATCACATTCTTGAAAATACTTCTAATATTAAAAAGCTTAGCCGGGTGCCAAAAAAAAATGATTTTGCATGTTCAATAACTTCTAAAACGGATGAGAAGAACGTCTTGAAAGGTAGGGGAGCTCCATGAAGTTTGGAAGTTCCCAAAACGGGTACTTTAAAGAATTTCGCTAAGCTCGCCATTTTGATGAAAAGCTCGCCATTTTGATCAGTATAAAAAATCTAATAGAAACCTGCGAGGTTAGTATGACTACTAGCTGGGCGTAAGTTTATAGAAAATTTCTGATTTTTGATCCTTTTTTCCTCTCCTTTTTATGTGGCTTAGAATTTCCATCAAGTGCTTTATCCGTTACTTTCCTTAAAGGATGAGTTCTATATAGGGAAAGCGGGAACAAGAAGGCGGAAATGAGGAAGCGCATGAATAAACGAGATAGTGCTTTCTGATCTGGTTTCGTGGAAAAAACAGCAAAATATAGAGGAAGAAAAAATTCAGGAAAGAAAAAAAATATAAACACTATGCAAAGTTACTGTATAGCAATCAGGAATTTTCGCTACATTGAGTTGCAAATCGAGGGGAAGATTATGATAATGATTGACAACTGAAATTGAAGAACAAAGAGTCTCAGACGGTGTTCCAAAAATCAGTGAATTTCCTTAGGAGATTTGAATTTTCTAGAAATTTTGTAAATTTAGAGCTGACTGTGCAATTTTTTGCGGGTTTTTTTGCTCTTTTTGAATAGTTCTGACGTAAAACTCATTTCACCTTTCAAGCAAATGTTTGAAGCTTTGAAGACAACAGATTAGCGTGATAAGAACAGCGATAAGACACAAATCAGTTGCAGAGATTGGGGAGGAAACGGAAAATTCTCGAAAGTGAAGGTGGTGATGAGAGTCGAGTGAGCGAGCGACAAAAGGACACCACCATCCCCACCATCCACACCATCATCACCATCACCACCGTCGGCAACACGGTTCGCAACCATACCGGCAGCGGATTATGCATGTCGCAACTCATTCATATACAGATGCCGAGAGCCCCCACTTCTACTGATCTGGTTTCTGTCAAAGGTCCCTCTATTACTGGCAAAAAATCGGGAAATATACAGAAAAGGGGAGGGGATCGAAAAGGTCTGAAAAAAACGAAAGAAAAGCGAAAAATAGGAAAATAATGGGAAAAAATCCAGAAAAATAACAGTAAATGTGAAAGATTGCACCATATGTAAACTTTTCTTCCCAGATAAAGGGCCGGAAGTTCCGCTGGACATTGGGAGTAAAAAACTTCCGCAGTATTTTGTGGAAAGTGCTGCGGAAGTTCCCGTATCCAATCAATGTAGCCTTAAATTCTGCGCAATTTCCCATTTTTGACGCTTGACTTTCTTGACAAACAAAATTCTGCAGGACTTCTGCAAATGTTTCTTGGCTTGCGGAAGTTCCCATAGGTCTTCGAATGAGACTACAGAAATTCACTATCTGGTAGGTTCAAACTAGTAGGAATGAAAATATCGATTACAGTCTAAGAATTCAATGTTTTTCACATGTTTGGACAATAATCGACCGGAAGTTCCGCTAAACATTCAAGAACGTACCTTCCGCAGCCCTTTATGGAAAATGCCGCGGAAGTTTCGGTTTCCATTCGGAGTGGTGTCAAATTCTGCGATTCCATTTTCGATTAAACTTCTGCGATAGTGAGCAAAACCCTGTATAACTTCTGTAAGTCTTTCTTGTCCGGCGGAAGTCCCCGTATACCGTCCGAATGATTGCAGGAATTCACTTTCTGGTAGATTCCAACAAGTAGGAAAGAAAATGTCGATTACAGTTCAAGAATGCACTGTTTCCGTCGAAAATCTTCTGGCACAAGTTTTCAAGATATTTCTTCAGTAATGTAAACCGGTTATCAATTATACCAAATCAGCGATGTGTAAAGACAATATGTATGAGGATGTAATTTCTCCATGGCAATTCTCTGGAATCGTAATACATATGAAAAATCGTAAAGATGCAAATAAAAGAAGAGACCAATAACGTAAATATCCGGACCGAATATGATCACCGTAAAATTACAGCAGTAATATTTCTGACGAAATCGTGTTGAGAAGACAAAGCTGCAAAAAATTTTTCCCAGAAAAATAGCTGATTGTCAGTTTTGCTTTATTCTCATGACCTACAACCCTTTTGTGAACATTGGCCTGAAAGAATTTTTTCAAGACTTGTATCAATCACAAATTCGAATTTTTTCGAAATAAGTCACGTTAAGTTCGAAATAAGTTTTTTTTTCGCTACAAAAATCTAGGTGCAAAAACCTCTCTTTTTTGCAAAATTTACTACCTTTCCGGTTTTGTGAAAATTTGTAAAACCATTGAGAGTCCTTACTTAGTAGGTGTCCATTTGTGACAGTTGTCTCTATCAATCCATTGAAATCGTGAGGAAATTTTGGACAGTATAGATTATGAACCTAATCAGCTTTCCCTTGATTGTATCCTAATTTTCGCTTTCGAAATCATGATTTAATTATATTGTTTACTTATTTTCTACGCTCTGAGGGCTCCTGTAAACGGCTTGAAAAAATTAGAAGGAGTACATTCAAAGGCATAATTCCTGAAGGAAAGAATGGTTTAATAAGAATGGTTCAATTGTTTTGATTCCTCTATTTCAGTCGTGATTGAGGCTATAAAAAATGGAGTCTAAAACCATTTACATGGAATTTTCCAGAAGGAAATAAAAGATCGAAGGAAGATCTACGATTCATGTATTGAATCTGTCACTTTCACTTACCATCACATACAAAAACATTCATCCCTTCGCAATAATTTCCATCAATCATATACTTGTACCGTCACACCATAAACGTTACATTCACTCGACAACGTTGTGGTTAATAAAAAAAATTGAAAATTTTGTTGAATACTAGTTTTCTGCTTGATAATCCATGACGAAAACAGGTCCAACAAAAGCTGTTATGCAACAGTGCAGTTTTTGCAAAAAAATGACAAAAGAGATTTTCCAAAATCTGTTTTTGAATTCAAAATTCCCTCCAGTCTGCTAAAAAGGTGACCTGTTTACTCGTTGCAAATTGCTCTATAGACAGTGCAAAAAGGATTCACTAACGTCATGCGTAGAATTTACCACCGGCGAAACCCATAAAGCCATAGAATGAGCCATAAAATTGCTTTATCGTGCTAAGCTTGAAGCAGTAGCAACACAATGATTAGTGTTTTCTTATCTTCTTTGCAGCCACTAGAGAATCTATGCTCTCAGAAAACGGGGTAAAAAAATTCTGGAACGTTTTAAGTGCTTATTATTTGCAAAAAAGCGGAAGAAACAGTGGTAAGAAGAGATCTGAAAAATTAGAAATTAGTTGACTTATAATAATAGGAAGAAAAGTAATTCACAATGTGTAAATAACCAAAAACCTCGTTCCTATCTTAGACGGAGTAAAAGTAATTACAGACCTTCCCCGGAACTCTTTGGATTTGATTTGATTATATCTTGAAGGATCCAACTGTTTTCGTAATGATTTAAGCACAAATTGGATTTGATTATTCAAGAGTCTTTTCTCTTCTTGATGGCTTGTAGGCATCGAAATGGAAGCTATGGAAAAGCTAAAGAAAGCTGAACAGCCATCCATAAATTCATTTTCCCCTATGCTGATCCATAGAAGGTATACCTTCCTAAGATTTATGGCTAAGAAATCGATAAGGAAAGAAAGATGGCCATTTATGAACCCCTCCCAGAAAATGTAAATAATTTTTTCACGTACTTTATAGCTCCCATTTAGCTCCCATTTTTAGTATCATAAAAATTCGCAAGTTGTTTCTGCACATTTTTGAATTTGTATCTAGCAGTATAAGGTAGATACTCAAATAGCAATGTAATGATTGAATTTATTGACTTTTCAATTTAAACAAAACACGGTTTTCATATAAGAACGACCCCGGAATTTCTAATTCTCACGAAAAAGCAATACACAAAAACAAAAAGTCCAAAAAGTAGTTTCACATACGGCTGATAGAATGAAAGATCTTCAAAGAAATTCGAAATGCAGTTCGTACATAGAAATCGTGGGAAGAAACAATGACATATGACATATGGAGATGCTCATGTGATTGTGATTTGTTTAAAGAAGAACTCGATAATTTTTTCTGATGTGTTGCATTCCTATTAATCGGAGAGAAACAGACAAAAATGTAAATTTGTGGGAAAAGAACTCATTTGGAAATATATCAAAGCAAACGATGGCGTTATTTGAAGATTTTGAGAAAAAAACTCGGAATACTACTGGAATCCGTAAAAGTTTTTTATTTGCAAAAATATGTACGTTCAATGACAACCTATGCTGGACAAGATTACAGTACAATGAGATCAGCTTCCTTTCTCGTGGATCTACATATGCTTGGACTAAAACAGTAAAAATAGGTTCCTGAACTGGGAAGAACTGATAAAATTTGAAAAAAAAACTTTAAAGAAACTTCTAGACTTTTTGTGTTGTAACCTATGTTCTGACAAGTAATAAACAATAAGACAAATAATTCCAATCCTCAGGGGATAAAATTGAGTGCGAATGGGAAAGTGCGACGTCTATTCGTAAAAAA